ACTCCTCTGCCCACACTCCTGCCATTCTAGTATATGTATTTCTGAGATGAAGCTTTTGTTGGTACAGCTAATTGAATTCCAATAATCAAGCCACCAAGCCTAGTCTAGTCATCTTCCATCTCTCTAAGTTGAGTGTGCCTGGTAGTGAGGGAGGACAACCATTTATTCTTTCTCATTCTGGCAGGGGCATTATAATTATTTGACACATTTATATATCTACTTTTGCCTTGAAAATTGTTTAAAACTCATTTTCTATTTCTTCCATCTTAAATGTCTTCTTTTTCCCTCCCCATCCAAACCCCAATCTTCCTTCAAGTCCTATTTTAGTTCTTGGCCTGCAAGTCAAACCTTCATTATCTCCTCAGCTATTCCTTAGAAAATGTACATCACTGTCTGGTCTGCTCGGTTGATACTTATTATAAATGAACTACCTTGGAATGTACTTATTATATTAATTATTTTTTCTTAAAACAGTATTTATAGTATTTCCTCCATTATTAATCCCAAATTAAATGTCATTGCTATGAAAACTTCCCTGATTCTTGCATATAGAAATAACTCTTTTAAGTTTTCATTTCACTTTACCTACATTATCTGGAACCTATGTTACACTCTTCCCTGTGTTACAATCATTTGTGTACATATATAAGCTCCTACCCTCTCCCCTTTTTTAGACAGAAAGGTGCTTGAGGACATGTACTATGATTGTATCTTCAAAGTACTTACCTAATTTTAAACCCTGAGTACATATTGTATAGAAGATCCTCTAAGATTTAGCTTCAAAAATTCATGATTTGTCATTGAAGGAAAATATGATTGGGATGATGGGCGTAGATGATCATCAGGTACAAATGGCATCTCATTACTAAGTAGAGTGTGATTGAATTACATTGTCATATCGGGCTCATTAGTTTACCAAAGACAATGTGAGACATTGTTTGATTTACTTTTTGATTCTCATATAATAATGTTTTCAATTTGGGTTATATATCTGAAGTTGAGTTTCTGATTTATTTATTATCCCCAACTCAATTTTATCACCTCTAAAATGATCTGATAATTTGTAATTACAAATAAGGTAAATAAAACACATTGAATCCAGTTCCTGATTTTTAATACATATATTATAAAGTAGAGGGTGTCATCATTTTGTCACTTTGAGTAACTTATTTTATTTAAATGTGCTTGTGTATTTGGAGAAGAAGAAGGTAAGTTAGTGGGACAGGAAGCTGGATTTAAATGTCTATAACATGTTGCCCTGGACGGTTTGGCTCAGCAGTTAGAGTGCTGGCCCGTGTACCAGAGAGTCCCGGGTTTGGTTTACGCTAAGGGCACGTACCTCTGTTGCAGTTTGTCCCTGGGCCCGGTTGGGGTCATGTGGTGGCAACCACTCCATGTGCCTCTCTCACGTCGATGTTTCTCTCTCTTTTTCTCTTCCTCCCTCTCTCTCTCTCTCTCTCGCTTTTTCTGAAGATAAATGCAAAAATGTCCTCGGGTGATGATAAAAACAAAACAAAACAAAAAATAAATAAATGTTTGTAACATGCTAGGTGGTTTGTATAATAACCTTAACTTATATGCATGTACACATAACCAATGGACATGGACAACAAAGCTGGGGATGGGGTAGAGGGGGGATAGGAAGGAGGGTGTCAAGGGGGGAAAAAGGAGAAACGTCTGTAACAAAAATAAATGAATAAAAAGTGTGCTTCTGCAAAAAAAAAAAGATACGAACTGTACACTTAGACAAAAATAGATGTAATGTGGGCAAACCAAACTCTGGGATTATTAAACACTTTAAATTAAGAAGTTATATCCTAACTCTAGAGCCAAATTCATGTATTTGATAATAATCCAGGTATCAAATATGTAGCATTTTGCCATTTTGTTATAACCTCAATATCATCATGTCTAAAATAGAATGTCATTACCCCTAGATTTTTACCCTACCACCCCTCATTCAAGACTTTTTCTTTTCACTTCTCTGGTTCTACAACTTATCATCATCATAACCTTGGTGAAGTTATTAAACTCTACACTTGACTTTTCTCATGCATGAATTGAGAATAATAGTAGAAATTACCTCATAGGGTTGCAGTAAGGGAATAAATGTGTTAATTTTGTTAAGCACTTAAAAGAATACATGACAGTATAGTAAGCAGTGGGGAAATATGGCTGTTGTGGTTCTCATACTCCATACATAAAAAGCTGGCATTAACTTTGCCCTCTTCCTCATTTTCCTTAGTAGCCAAGGATTCTTGTTAAAACTTTCATTTAAAAATGTAGTTTAGATTGGTAATGAATTCCACATTGTTCAAAATTCAAAATGTACAAAAGTATATACGCCTCCTCCTAGTCCTATCCCCTAGCCACCTATTTTGCCTCACTGGAGGCCACTAAACTTATCTATTGATTTGTAATCCTTCCATGGACATTTTATGCATACCAAGCAAATGAATCTCTCTATACTCTCCATTCCCTTTTATACACAGGTAGTAACACACTCTGCATATTGTTTTGCACCTTGTTTTGTCTACTTAAAAATATTCTTCGGAGACCTTCCCACATAATAAGTATGTAAAGAAATACCACATTTTTTTGTATGGCTGCATAGTTTTTCACTATATGGATGAGTAACAATTTATTTAAACAGTCTCCTATTGAATGACTTTTATTATACCCAACTCAGGGTTGTCATCGCCTTCATGCCCTGGGGGCCGTAACCATTCACTTTCTTGCTTTCGGTGCACTCAGCGTAAGAACCTCCCCCTGCGCCATCTTGGCCAGTGGAGGAGACTCCCTGGTGTTTCCTGACTGTCTATAGAAGTGAGTGGGGGCACTGCAGGAACTGCCATCAGGAAGTGAAGATGTAGCAGCCCTCAGCAGGCTTCTGACGCACATTCGGGAAAGCTGGTTGGAGTCTCGGCACCGGAATCCCTGCGCAACTCATCTTCTGCGCAGCCCTCCCGCAGCCGCTCCTCAGAAGTGGCCAGTTCGGCCTATGCTCCAACTGACGGTTGCTAACGGGCAAGATTTTGAGGATTAAATGAGCTAATGTATTTGTTCTTTTAACAGAACACAGTAAGTACTCAGTGAGTGTTGGCAGTTATTGTTCTTTCATCACCATTTTATTGTTAATGTCATGCAGTACGGTAGCCTTGATACTGAAGGTTTTCCCAGAGACGCATCTCAAAACTGTCTGGAAAATATACAGTTAAACTATCTGAAAATATCTGTGTACTCCAGTTGTTCTTTAATAATCTTATTTTAATATGAAAAACATAGCTAAGGCTTAAAAAAAAAACTACCTGTAATCTCAAAACCCTAAAACGTTGATTTTTATTTTGTAACAGTTCCAGCATTTCTTATAGGTCAGTGGCTAAAAGTGAGTGATATCTGCTCAAGACTTTTCTAAATGTTTGGTTTATTGTCTTTAAACTTTTTTTTTTAGTAGATAGTTTTTTATTTTACTTTTTATTAAATTTATTGAGATGACATTGGTTAATAAAATTATATATGTTTCAAGTGTACAATTCTATAATACATCATCTGTATATTGCATTGTGTGTCCACCACTCAAAGTCAAGTCTCCTGTCACCATATATTTGACCTCCTTTATTCTATATTACCTCCCCTCTCCCCCCTTTTCCTCTCATAACCACCATACTGTTGTCTGTGTCTGTTTTTTTTTGTTTGTTTGTTTGTTCATTTGTTGCTTTCAGTTTATATCCCACATATGAGTGAAATCATATGATTCTTGATTTTTTTCTGTCTGACTTATTTTACTTAGGATGATATTCTCAAGATCCATTCATGTTGTTACAAATGGCATTATTTCATCTTTCTATGTCTGTAGTATTCCATTGTCTGTATGTACCACACCTTCTTTATCCAATCATCTATGGAAGGGACACTTCAGTTGTTTCCATGAGTAGACAGTTTTTGTTTTTTGTTTGTTTGTTTGTTTTGGTACATGCCCCTAGCAGGAACTGAACCCGGGACTCTCTGGTCCACAGGCCGATGCTCCAACCACTGAGCCAGACCAGCCAGGGCCATAAGTAGACAGTTTTTTAGAAAGAAGGTGCTTATCAAATTTGGAATATTAGAAAGTAGTGAGGGTGCACTGTAATTTGAGTCAGAGGATAAGAATTCCAGTTCTGATTCCATCGTTTCTAAACTATGTGACTTTGAGCCTCCAAATTCATTATCTGTGAAATGAGAATGCTATATGAAAGTTATTTCCCTACTGTAAAGCTATGTAGATGCACATGAGGGATTGTTATTTATATTGTCCACATGCTCTATCTTAAGATACTAGGTACCTTCTTAGGTCTGTGTTAGGATTCCCAATACTTTGCTTTCTTTTGAAGCTGTAAGCCCCCATGACTCTGCTTTGCTTCCCTCCATAAAGGTTTAACATCTTGATTCATTCCTAGACATTTTTTTCCTCTCAGGCCTGGCCAAAGGGTGAGATACATTTTAAAAAAAATTTTTTTATCCTAACCCGAGGACATTTTTGCATTTATCTTCAGATAGAGTGGGAAGGAGAGAGGGAGGAAGAGAGAGAAAGAAACATCGATGTGAGAGAGACACATCGAGTGGCTGCCACCCACACGACCCCACCCCGGGCCGGGGACAAACTGCAACCGAGGTACGTGCCCTTAGTGGAAACCGAACCCAGGACTCTCCAGTCCGTGGGCTGATGCTCCAACCGCTGAGCCAAACCAGCCAGGGCAATATACATTCTTATTAGCCAGCCACCTGCTCCTGTCCCTTAGAAGCACTGTTCACTTCCATGTAACAAGCAGATCACCATGGAAAATACCACTTACGTAGCAAAATAATCTTGGGAACATGACAAAGATAATATAATCTTATAAATTTTCTGTGGTCATGGTCCCTGGAATATGATATGTGAAGTTCTGCATATATTAGGCATTGACTCTGTGTGGATAGGGCTCAATCTTTCTTCCTATCTCCTCCTTTATTTCCTCCTCCAGTACCCCCTACATTAGGACAAAGACCTGAAAGTCAGTCTTCCAAACACAAAGGCTTGAAGGACCAATCCAGGCAGAATACTGGTTATTATCTCAAGTAGGTAATTTGCATTTCTGAAGCCCTCCTGCCTGTGTGATTCACATCTCAATAGCTCAAGACATATACCTTAACCCCCCTTGGTTATTTCCTCACCACTTTCCTCACAGCTATCTGGTTCCAGACACTGAAGAGCAGCAATTCCAACTTTAGAGAAAAGCAAAAGACTTAGAATTCTCTTAAAAAACAACAACAATTCAGCTTTCTTTAAGACCATTCTGTAGGCCCTAGTTCCTTCAGTTTTAAATTTTGGCTGACTAAATATTAAATAAAACATTTTTTAAAGAGAAGATTATACACCTTCCAGATAGCTTTCTCTGTATTCACTCCTACCAACATTTAGAGTGTTGTTAATGGCTATCTAATGGCTACTCCAATTGACTGTCCTTTGGATGAGAGTGCAGTTAGCAAAAATGGCTGAGACATTCCTGATTGTCACCTTATGCCATTTGACTGATATGCTCTTTTTTCTTTATTGATTTTAGAGAGAGAGGAAGGAAGAGGGAGAGAGACATAGAAACATCGATGAAAGAGAACATTGATTTGCCACCTCCTGCATGCCCCCACTGGGGATTGGGCCCACAACCCTGGGCATGTGCCCTGACCGGAGGAACCAGCGACCTCTTGGTGCATGGGTCAATGCTCAACCACTGAGCCCTACCAGCCAGGCTTGACTAATATACTTTTGATACAGTTTGGACAAGAAGTATTTTTCAGACTCCTTGATTATTGCTATTTTAAATATTTATATTATTGATTATTATAATATATTGCTGTTATTAAATAACCTTCCTTATTCCCATGATCATTCATTCATTGGACATTAGCACATTGTATGGAGGAGATACTCTGCTATAAAATTGGGATACAGAGAAGAACTAGACTAGGTATCTACTAAGGGGCTCACCTGATGGTGCGGGAAACACAATGCGTCTTTGTGCAAGATACTATAAACACTTGAACACGTATTAACTTGATAAATACTCGCAACAACCATATGAACTGATTACTGTTATTCTCATTTTACAGATGGGAAAACAGACACAGGGGTGTAGAAAAACTTGCTCAAAGTTTTATTAAGAAGTTGCAGACTCAGGATGTGACCCTAGGCACTTCAGATTCCATATATTTTTATCACACTTGGGTAGCAATGTGGACTATGAGCTAGAAGGGGAAGTGACTGGGAGATGATAAAGAGGTTTAAGAGATATTTCTGTAGTCGAATTTATTGCAGCTGATAACCAATTGGCTAGAGATGGAGAAAGAGGAGTCAAAAGTGACTGGCCCTCAGGTTTTTAGACTGAGACTGGGTTGATGGTGGTGCTATAAATTGAGATTATAAATATAAGAGGAAGAGAATGTGAGCACAGAGTTTATAAAAGAACTGTTTGATGCCTAGGAAAAATCCTTCTAGGCCAGAGCTGGAGATGGCCATCAGCCATAATAATGGTGGTGATTTGAATAATAACTCATTATATTGAGAACTTTTCATATGCCAAGAAATACATTTACATCTACTAATTCATGAAATCCTCACATTAACCCTATTAAATCAGTATCATACCCCCTTTCCTTGGTAGGTGAAGAAACTGAGGTTGAGTAGGGGGCTAAATAGCTTATCAAAGTCATTTTGCTTCCTCAACCCTGCTGTCTCATAATCCATGGGAATGAGGAAGACCAGGTAGGAGATGGCTCTTGTAAGTTGTCCCAGCTAGAAATAATGAGGCCTAACTGAAGGATATGTGAATGGAGAAGAAATTTTCTTCACTCTCTTCCAGATTTTTCAAGCAAGTGCTCCTGACTTCATGGTGCCTCCCCTCCCCCGTGCCCCTTTCTGAATTATATGAGAATTATCTGACCTAACATTCTTTTTTCTATTGTTGTACCTCCTTTTTCACTCCTCCTTGAAATCACAATAAACTACCCTCTCTGGCACATCATACTTCATAGTTAATTACACCTCAAACATCTCTCATACATAACCTCTCTAATTTTCTTTTATTCTTTTCTATTCTTGTCCAATTCCTATACTTGAGAAAACACACTTCCTCATTATCCATTTTGTCACTCATCAGAAACCTTGGGAAATTTGTTAAACACCTACCATGTGCCAGACACTATCCTAAGCCCTTGAAATACATCACTGGAAGAAACATCAAAGATGAAAATCTCTGCCTGCAAAGAGCTTAAGTATAATCGAAAATACAGTTTTCTGCATCTGACTTCTGTGCTTATTCTTTACTACACATCTTCCTTCATTAACCCAACCTCTACCCCCTCAAGATACTTCTTAGAATCCTTAGAGCTTTGTAAAGAACAGTTTGAAATATTTTAATTCTAGATGGAGAAATTGAGGCTTAGAAAGAACAAGGCCTTGACAAAGATTATGGGATATGATTCCCGGGCATCTGACTTCCAGGTCAGTGCTCTCTGCTGCATTTGTGACTCTCCATATTTGGTTGACTCAGATCTAAAACTGATAACAACTTGCCTACTATAACTTCTAACACATAATAATTATACAGTTAAGATTTGGTGAATGATGGATGTATATGGAGCAGTTCTATTTATATATTTGGAACAAAGAAAGAAAAATCTATGCAGTTTGAGATAAAATTAACGATAGTTTAAATGGTTAAAATTCTCCAAACTCTTGATAGTGTTCCAGAAGTTTTCTCATAATGCCAATAGAAGAGTGTGTGTTATTGCCACTTAATTAGGACTGGTTTCCTTCATTCTTGACTCAATAAATAAAGGAATTGTGTTTAGGATTATCTTTACTTTTTGTGTGGCTGTATTATAATTTTTATTCTTACTGATTGTGCATTTGTTGTATTTTAATTGCATTAGGTCTTAAATGGCTATTGTGAAGTGACCTGTAAATGAACGTTTTTATAGGCAAATGTATTTGATATCTAAAGCAATGAGCTGATTTATGGATAACTTTTTGAAATGCAACCGGGTCATAAAGGAAGAAACTAATTATAATTGACTTGGAGACACTTAGCATGATCTGAAATCTGACCATTCAAGTCATAAGCAAGTTGTGGATTCAACTTCCTTGCCCTGTGTTTTCCTCTCTAGTGAGATTAGACTGTAGATAGAGCAGAGGAAATCTGGTTAAAGAGATGCTGGTATGTGCTTCTGGTGGAAATAATTGTGATGGTGCAGAGCAGCTGAATGAGGCCACTAAGTATCTTTTGTTCATAGGAGGAAAAGTTATCTAACAAGGAAATAAAAGACTGCTTATATTTCTTTAGAGAGAATTGATGCTGATGTGCAAACAAGTTCATTAGGATAAATCTCCATATAGGAGCATGGAACTTCTTAGAATGAGAACTAGGCCAGGAAGGGAAGCATTCTGGAAACTATGGGTGTAAGGTGGGTTGGAGAGATTGGACGAAAGAGATTCACATACATGCAGAATTTGAGAAGAGTGGGCAACTAATATTGGAGACAAGTCAGGGCCATCTTGATGAACAGAATATGTAAATTAGAATATTGTCCAAACTCTGACTTCTCAGTATCTATTAAGTCTTAAGAAATAATGTTCATAAAAACACAAACAGGATAGACTGACAACCCTCATAAGAGAGAGTGAGGGAGTAGGGAAGAGATAAACCACAGAACTTATATGCATGTATGCATAACCGATGGACATGGACAACAAGGCTGGGGACGGGGTGGGGGGTATGGAGAAAAAAGGAGAAACATCTGTAACAAAAATAAATTAATAAAACACACACACACACACACACACACACACACACAAACAGCTGTAACCAAGGGTAAATGGCATATTGTATGTGTATATAGTAGGTTAGATCTTATTTTAAAATTGTCTTTCTCTTGTCTCTTTTCCAGATATGGATCAATTCATAAGCAACTTGGAGGTCCAACTTAATCCAGAAGGTGGTTCAATGCATGTATTTAAACAGGTCAGTTATCAGGAAAAATATATAATAATATTGTGCCATAATGTTGTTGAGTACCTTGTAATCATTATTGAAATGAAGATTGTTTTTCTTTCTAACAACATGTTGATGACTGAGAAGGAGTAAAAATAAAATGAGGTTTGTAAGAAGTACCTGAATGCTCAGGTTTCAGATTCAAATAGGGAGTAGATTTGGCCTTAAAGAAACATAGCCTCTGAGATCAAGGCAATAAGGGCAAGATTAGACACTTGGTATGGAACAGCCACCATTTATCTAGCACTATTCCATATTTCAAGATCTCTGAAGATTAAATGCATTGGCTTATTTAATCTTCACAATAACTCTGTAGGATAGTGTATTATTTAGGGTTCTCCAGAGAAAAAGCACCAACAGAATGTGTATGTCTTAATCTCTCTTGATACATAGATAGATAGGTACATAGATAGCTAGATTGATAGAGAGATAGATAGATATGTAGATATAGATATAATTTTGTTTTATATATAAAGATCTATCTATCTATCTATCTATCTATATCTATCATCTATCATTATCATAATCATCATCATCATCATCTATCTATAAAGAGAGAGAGAAAGATTTTAAGGAATTGGCTTGCATGATTGCAGAATCCTGGTGAATCCAAAATCGAATGAGTAATCTGGCAGGCTAGAGAGCCAAGGCAAAGTTGCAATTTGAGTTCAAGGGTAGTCTGCTGGAAGAATTCTTTCTTACTTGAAGGAGGTCAGTCTTTATCTATTAAGACCTTCAAGTGATTGGATGAAGCATACACACATTATATATGGTGATCTTCTTTACTCAAAGTCCAATGCTTTAAATATTAATCTCACCCAAAAATACACCTTCACTGAAACATTCAGAATAACATTTGACCAAATATCTTGGCACTGTGGCCCAACCAAGTTGACATATAACATTAACCATCACAGATAGGTGTTCTTAATGTTCCAATTTTACAGGTAACAAAATTGTGAACTTGGAGGCTCCCTGAACAAGGATTCAAAACTGGTTATGTTTTTTTATAGCCAGGCACTCTGGGTAAGATGTAGAAGTCCCATTTTGCTCAGGGTTGAGTTCTAAAGTCATTGCATATGTGAAACCCAAATACAGTTAAAATTACCCTTGAAAATCTCCTAAATTGCTTATAAAAATTAAGTATAAAATTTTGTATATCCAGTACAGATCTTTTTTTAAGTCATCAGATAAAAGTACCTGGCTTATATTAGGAATCATATTTCTACAAAAAATGTTTTTAATCATTAAATGTTTTGCCCTTGGTGTACACTTGAACTTGTTTAAGTTGCATGTGCATATGATGCCTTTGAACTGTTGTAATGATATTAAACCCAATTTAATGTCTTATTTACCTTGTAGCTGTTGCCATTTAGGGAGTATTAGCACATCAAAACTTGCTAATTGTTGCAAAACATCTGTTGTTTGCTGGTTCTTAGTCATAGTTAATACTAAAAGGAGAATAAGTGTTAGATAAAAATATATTGGACTTGTAATAAAAAATAGTGAAATGTTGTCAAGCATGCATAACTACCTTATTTTCAAATCTCTGTACACCTAAGTACAGTTCCAAAAATGTTTTTCATTGTGTTGTTTGAGTATACTAAGGTCCCAGATTTTGAAGCACTTTGAAATTGGTTCAATGTGTAGAAGTTCTGGATAGTAGATGATCTAAGCACTTGTTTTTTGTTTCTTGTCATTTCCAAGACACCTTGGTTTTAGTAAAACAAAGGTGCCTGTGGTACATGGCCACAGAACACTGGTCATGTCCCAGGGGACAAAGACCGAGAGCTTGTGTTCTACAACAATATAATTCTGGCAACATCCTAGTGGGCAGAAGCCTCCTGGTTTGGTCTATTATATGATTTGTTTATATAATGAGGTAGGATTGGTGGGTGGCTCTGTAGCTCAGTACATACATGCTACTCCCCCTTCTTTGTCTTCTTACATCACCATACCATATAATGAATGAGTACTTGGTTGTCACCTGCTTTTTGATTATTTGTTTCCAGTTTCTGATTATTTCCTGAAAGTATAATTTCTTGGACCAAGGTATGAGCAACTTTAGGGTTCATATTGTACTATATACGTCTCTTCCTCTCCAATTTATTATTCTTAACATTTTGGCATATATCCTCACATTTTCATTCTCTCTCTCTCTCTCTCTCTCTCTCATTTCTTACCTTTGAAATTAATTTGCATCAAGAAACTTCACCTCTAAATAATTCAGCATGCATCACCTACAAATAATGACTTTCTCCTACATAACTACATCAACACTATTACAACCAAGAAAATTAACACTATCTCTATAATATTATCTACTTGGGTCATACATTTCTAAAAGGTTCTTAGTGATACCTTTTCCTATGCCATTCTTTCTGCCTGGCATGTGCTTAAATCAGTCTGTCTAATTTACCAAATCTCACACTTTCCTTAGCGTCCAAATACCAATTCCATTTCTTGCATGAAACTTTCACTGATAACCCCAACTCTCACTAATCTCTAGTACACATGAGCCCCTGGAATGCTAATTTATCTGTTTTAGTCACTCATGTGGTTCTGCTTATTACTTGTTCTATAATTGTCAACTGTTTCAAGTAAATATCTCTTGTTTTCACAGTGATATTCTTTGTCCCCCAAACTTCAATTACTCAAGTACAACCTTCACAATTTTCACCATATCCTTATCAATATTATTTACTTACTTTTTAAAAATTAGCTCAGGCCCGGCCGGTGTGGCTCAGTGCATTGAGCGTCATCCCATGGACTGAGAGGTCCTGGTTCGATTCCCGGTCAGGGCACATGCCCAGGTTGTGGGCTTGATCCCCAGTAGGTGCTTGCAGGAGGCAGCTGATGGATCTTTCTCCCTCACATCGATTTTTCTATTTCTCTCTCCCTTCCTCTCTCTGCCTCTCTCTTTTTCTTTCTCTCTCTAAGAAATCAATTAAAAACATATTACATATTAGTTCAGATAAAAATAAATAAATACCTATATTATTTTGTCCTAAATGATCTAGAGAATTGGGGTTTGATGTGGGGTATTATTTTCCTGGGGCTACTGTAACAAATTACCACAAATTGGGTGGTTTAAAACAAAAGAAATCTATTCGTTCTTAGTTCTAGAGGCCAGAAGTCCAAAATTAAAGTGTTGTGAATGCCACAAACTCTCTTGAGGCTCTAGGAAGAAACTGTTCTTGCCTCTTCCACCTTCTGGTGGATGTGGGTGTTCTTTGACTTGTAGCATCAGAACTCCAATATCTGCTTGTGTCTTCACATCACTTTCTCCTCTGTGTCCTGTGTGTCTGTCTTCTGTGTGCCTCGTTTAAGGACACTTGTCATTGAATTTAGGGCCCATCCAAATAATTCAGGATAATCTCCTCAAGATCCTTAGCTTAATTATATCTACAAATAAGATAACATTCATGGGTCTGGGGATTTAGGACATGGGCATATCTTTATAGGAAATACCATTTCGCCCACTACAATTTGTTATATATGTATTTTTTCTAATGTATAATAAATAAATATATAACAATTTAAATAAAATAATTTATCCATGCACTACCCCAAAACAATCTTAGATGCCTTAAAGAAGAAAAAGTGTTTCATCTTATTATTTTTCATATTTTTCACAGTTTCATGCTAAGTGATAGTATTTCCATATTTTTATGCTAGGTACTAATACCTAATAAATGATTATATGTACACATTTATATACATGCATGCATGCATACATATATATGTATATTTCTAACTTTGTTTACCTAGATATGGCTGCTACTATGCTTGACACTTTCTCCCAATCCCTTAGGATTACCTAGTTTATTAGTTTGTACACATTGATGAGTTCTTTTGTTTTATAGTACTCCATTTCCTGATGCTATTGAGTTGGTGGTGATGTTAAATCTTAAATTCCTCTAGGTTTAGATTATGTCTAGCTTTCTACTTTCTAATAATATCCAACTTCATCTTTTTTATCTAATACCCAAACACCTGATATCCTTATTGGAGAAAGATTGTAGTTTCAGAAGGTTAAACTGACTTTTGGTCTTAAACAATGAATGTGCACGTATATGTGTATATGTGCATACATGTGTGCCCAGGAATGAAAATGACTAGTATAAATTCAGAGTGAATCTAGAAGAGATACTTGTACAAAAACAGTTTTCTTCTTTCTTTTTGGGAGTAGCCTGGGCTTCATCTTATTACCATGACAATGCCCCTTTCCCTCCTTTTCACCTAGTGTGCTGTCTGGAGTACTTTGTTATTTCATTTTCTTCCTAGTCTTGCCACTTTCAAGCTCTAAATTAAAGCTCTTTTTATTTTTTATTTTTTTTTTATCCTCACCCGAGGACATTTTTTTCGTTTTTTGTTCAGATAGAGTGGGAGGGAGAGAAAGAGAGAGAAACATCAACGCAAAAGGGACAGATTGAGTGGTTGCCACCCGCATGACCCAACCAGGGCCGGGACAAACCGCAACCAAAGTACATGCCCTTAGCGGAACCGAACCTGGGTCTCTCTGGACTGCAGGCCGATGCTCTAACTGCTGAGTCAAATTGGCCAGGGCTAAAGCGCTTTTTAAACAGTGGCTTTCTCTTACCTTCCATCTCCCAGGAACCTTTCTACGTATTTTTATTAAATGCTCAAGAGCTTAGATAGTTGTAAAATGGATGACATTTCCTCTGGGTTTCTTTCTAGAATTGAGAGTCCTACTTGCCTTTATTCATCATCTTTGGTGAAAGGTTAAAGTCAGTGGGCAGGCTAAATAGCAATCCCAGATGGTGAATAAATAACAATTGGATTTATTTAAGAAAAAGAGGATGGGGGATGGGGATAGTTAAAGGGAAAAGCTACACAGCACCGAGTCAGGGGTATGGGGTTGATGGTGACAGCCCCTAGGAGCTGGAGTCTCATCTTAATATGCAGCCACTGGTGGGAAGCTTTTGTCATCAGTGGGTTTTGGGGAC